TGTTTTTTTTGGGGAGGGGGGAGGGGGGAATCTTTTAGTTGATTAGATTTTTTATCATCGGTACAGATTCCCTGATGATCGTTCGTTGATTACAACCTCAAAAGAAATCTGCTGTTGTTGTTGTTGTTATCGTTGTTGTTGTTGTTTTATGTTCGGATACGCTGTTTACTGCATTAAACATCAATAACAGTAATAACATAAAATAGAGGAGAAGGAAAAAAAAAAGAAGAACAAGAATTTTTAACCTTTATTATCTTTGTAAATTGCTCAACTGTTTTTTCTTTCTTTTGATTTCGATTATTTTTTAATATTTTTTTTGTTTTGTTTCATTTTATTTTATCATATCTTTAATACTGATATCTGCTTACTTCATAGAACACTAACTTAATGAGTACATTAGCATTGTAAACAATATAGATATCTTTGGAAAGATAAAAAATACATTTTTTTTTAATCTACTCCTTCTTTATTATCTTTGCTTTTTTTTTTCTTAATAACTGATCACTAAGATAAGTAAAATTTTACCTGTTAAATCAGTTTACTGTAGCGACTTAAATTCTTAGTAAAAATAAATCTTAGCTGTTCATTTTACTCCTTATTCAGGTAGAAAGTCTAAACTATGATCTTTTTTCTTCCCTTTTTTTTCTTATCAGTCATTCAGTCATGCAATAAATCATTGTTTTACCAATCTATCTTTCCAATTATCAGTTACTGTCACCACATCCCTATTGCATCTTAACTTCCAGTTTTACAGTTCTTCAAAACTGTATAGATGAATCAATTGTTTTCGTCTAATTTTTTTCATTTTTTTTTATTCCTCTAACAACTTTCCTTCCTTTCCCTTACTGGTAAAAATATTTCCTGAAACCTCCAAATTTCACATTTTATAGTACTAATCTTTCGGTGTAAATTCAGTGTAGTTGTGATCGTAACAGAATTTAAAATGATGAATTTAGTACGCAATAACGGTAACTTTTCAGTCCAATTTCACCTTCCTTCCTTTGTGATGCCAATACGACAAAATAATTGCAAATTGCACATTGTATATTTGTACAAGTAAATACTACTACTTACCTATTTGATACTGCACTGTCAATCAAAAAGTTTCTCCTTCTTTTTGCCTGCCAGTATTATTCAGTAACTCAAACCATACGATAAAACATTATAAATCATTTTGTCTATTTGTTGCTTTACTCTAAACATGGAAGTAAATAGAACAAACAGAAGCCAAGCACATTCTGTTAAATAACATGAAATCTACAGAGAACTTTGAACTGTAGCTGAAAAAGATTTGGTTCACAGACATGAGGCCAACAAAAAGCGTCAAAAACAGGAAAATGAGCGTCATTTTTAGTTATTCCGACAAATATTTGAGTGTATTGCTGACTTAAAAAGTTTTTTTTTAAATTTTTCATTGAGTTGTTTTCTATGGGGCTTTTAATCCCCTGCATTAGACACGCAAAATGTAATTGGTAAACCTAAACTTACAGGCATGAAATCCATCAAAAGCATTTGGCTTTTAAGCACTACGGTTTCAAAATACCTAATCAAGATTGGTCTCATGTCTCCTTCAATAGCTTGCTGACTATGATTGTTCCAGTACAAAAGAATTTTTGATTTTAAATACACGAACATCTAAATAAAGGCAAAAAAATCCATTGAAAACAAGAATCCTTTTGATAAGTAAAAATTCAGAAAACATGTTCATACCTGTCGTCGTTCTTCGGCGTTATCTTAGCAGCACTCTCCTAAGGTTGTAAAATAGCCGAAACGCAGTAAAACATCAAGACCATAAAATTAAGAAAGAAAATGACCGGATTTCAGGATAAGCGAACGAAACGTAATTGTAAACTGTGTGTTCAGAAGACAAAAAAAAAAAAAAAATATTTGCTGCATTAGTTATCTACACAGTCTTTTTCTTTCGTTACTTGCGCATCTGAATCAGCTTGGGATTGATACTGTCAATTAGAGGATTTAAAAACAATCAAATACACTTGTCTGTATTACATTTGAGTAATCACGGTTACTTTTCCTAAATGTAGTTTTAGTCTCCGTAACAGTCCATATTTTGCAGTCAGGCGTCTATTTATGGGCCATTTCAACGACCAGTCGCATACTTTTTTCAAAGGAGGGTGTATTGCAGGCGAACGTACCACACTATGAAAACCAGTGACAATGAGAAAGTGAATCATGAATCATGAGTTTTAAATGTTACCGTCTCAAACTAAGATTAAAAACTGCAACCACAGGTTACAGTTGCTGAAATGCGTGCAATAAACTGAATGAATCCTCCGTCTTGCAACCATATTATTTGACCGACAATTTTCTTATATTTTAATCCAAAAAAGATTAAGTCATGAAAAAAATTTTTTTTTTAAATGCAAAGGTTTCGCATATTTGGTCTTAATACGTTATGCGCATAAATCTTCTTTTTGTAAAGATTCGTCTTTTTGGAATATCTTTTATTTTGAAGAACAAAAGATCTTATACGAAGAAAAAATTTTTTTCTTTGACAGAAAGAAGTTATTGATCAATCTACTTTTTTTTTCCAAGTTTACTCGTAAAGTTTGTATTCTTATGGGTTTTAGCTTTTCTTTGTCGATCAACCTCTACATATAACTGGCGTAATTCCGTTAAAACTATAACTTCTTGACTCTCGTGCGAATTTAAAACAGCTTTGTTTTTTTTTTTTTTTTTTTTTTTTTTTTTTTT